CTCCTACCTCGTTGGTCGTCCGTTCGGCGNGTCTCAGATATATATATTATTATATATATATATATATATATATATATATATATATATATGTGAATATATATATATATGTTTGAATTTGATAAAATCATACACAGGAATGGGTGATGTTTTTGTGGCTAGTCTTCAAATCAAATATATTTGGATTCGAATTTTCGCACTGAACTCCGAAATATTTTGTGGTTGATCGACAAATCAAACACCACAAAGCAGTATCAATAAACCCGATATATTGCACTGGATGTAGGTTGTTTGGAGATGTCAAATTGAGATATGTATCGCGTGCGAGGACCATATGTCGATTTCGCAAACGCATCACGTAGATCTAAAACAGTGTGTGTTATGGTATGAAGTATTGTAGTGTATTTGGTTTGTACGGTCGAGCAGCTTACAGAACCTAGCGAGTGTCTACATGTTTACACCAAATTCTTTATGACTAATTTTCTTCGCGAAGCTAAACAACACTCATCTTTTGCTACAGACATGCAGCTGGTAACTAAAAGCCGGAAGAAGACCAAAACTAAGGGCTGCAAAGTACCTCCCATGTCGGAAGAGCGTATTAACGAATTGAATGAGCTCATGGTGACTTACAATCCGCATAAGGTATAGTTTGAACTATTGCATCACTTGTCTTTCATTTTCGTGCTTCTTTTTCTTGCCATGTGAGGATGACTACAAATGGCAATAACTGTCTTAATCTCCCTTTTCGTTTATTTATTTATTAGAATCGAAGAGATTGCAGGGTAGATGACTTGTGTCACCCCCCCTGGGCCTATCCAGCTGAGAGCATAGATGACAAGACCAGTGTGGAGGTAAGCATTTATCCAAGTACATACCAGTGTATTGTACTTTGTATTGTACTTCATTCTTCTACGATAATTTCCAAGGGTATTCCACAAAAGGAGTTTACATGTGTACAGCCGAGTGAACAAACTCGTGCTACTTATTTTGTATTCATACTGTCACGCACTATAAGTTCCCTTTAGCTTTATTTCCATCTGTTACACCGATATGAAAGCACAGAGGTGTCAGTAGTATCTCGTCTTAGTGAATTTATCGTATTGTGCCTGTTTCTTCAGTCGGCGTAGCCAGTCATTGTGCTTCCTAACCTGAGAAAGGTGCAAGCGCTTTTTTCACGCTGAGAGTCTCGAAATCTACAGAGCGTAATGGCTGTCAATTTGAAGCTGCAGTCGGTGAATTTAGTCTATAGCTCAAAAAACGGGACGTAACGCTCAATCAAGTGTTGCTTACAGACACAGCTGGGTTGGGTGGTTGTGTATTTGTACAATAGTTTTTAGATGTAGTTTGCAAGCATCCGTTGGTGCGAATATGAATTGAGAACTGTTAACCGAGGTGCTCATTGAAACACTACTTCGCCCGGAAACATTGGTATCCTGGCATATAGTTCATGTTTCATCCAGATGTTTTTAAGACGAATTCTTGCTTCCGTGGCGAGAACTGTACTATGAGAGCTTGTGCTTTCCTGCATCCGGGAGAGTATTATGTACCTCGCTGGAGGGCTTGTGGCGCAATATTTGACGGCGTGTTCTACCCACCGCTACCTATTACCTGTAAGTGTGTTCGTCGCTTTACACATGAATAGAACGTTTGTTTCTTCGACCTTCGCTTTTACGAACATTGGTCATATCATTCCAACTATGAATCTCACTCAGCGAATTATTGTTGGTTTATTTTGCAGATGAATGGTTTAAATTTATGATGATTGAATATAAGACTACAGGACCATGCATGGCAACTTATACACACGACCATGGCAGGTAAGGTACACTACGAAGTGGATCTCGACAACTTTAAGCGGTCGAATCAGCCACACTCAATGTTCACTGTTCAGTTCAAGCAAGTCGAATCGCAGTGATACAAATTCTATTTTGTTGCCAGTTCAGGGGTCTGGCCAGACCCCTGATTATTTCCCTTAGAATCGATTGCTGTCTGGAAATTCACATTTGTTTCTGTGCGGCAAAATGTACGCCTATCCTGAGCAGGTGTCATTATTATCATCGAGATGCTAACGATCGGGACTATTTTTATGATCTCCGTCCACCGCTGGAATACAACTTCGATGCTGACACATGGTTGATTCTGCCCAAGGTAAGATCGACATTTCTAATTGGGGAGCAAACCTTGCATGTGAGTAGCTACATTTTCAATATATTGCACAAGCACTAAGGGCCATTGCCTTACTTCCGACACTCTCCGGTTCATAGTGTTTATGAATTGCTTCTCACCTTATAGGGTGCTACGCTAACCGCCCGGCAGTATCATCCATCCACATATAAAATCGAGGAATGTCGTCGGATAAGTAATAGTCAGAAATGTAGTAAAGGAAGGTATTGTTCGTTCGGACATTTAAATAACGAGTTCCAGCGAATCGAGGAACACTTCAGACGGCTAGCCGCCGAATTCAGCAGGTAGGCCGCTTTCGAGAACGAAAAGGGTATTTTTATAAGGCTGTCCACATAGCTGTAACGTTTATAGTAGCTTTCAACAGAGCTTGTTTCAATATAGTACTATATGTGCAGTTCTGTTGCCTAATGTCTATAAATATCACTTTTCAAATTATCCTAATTTAGCCAACATAAGGAGAGCGAGGATGGTCTGGAGCCGCCTTCAACCGAAACTTCAAACGATGTACCGAATGTAGACCGCTCTCAGACTGCAGAGGTTCCTGTAAGATCATTTACAGCTCTTATTGTCAATGATTTAGCTCGACCAAATCCGACCCTTCTTCAGAGTCAACCCTCTAGTGGAAATGCTTGGACTGATATCGCCGGTAGAGCACCCGTAGCTGCTATATCGGCAACCTATATATCCGTGAGCAATGGTTTAGAAGTGGGGGGGACATCTATAAATGGAAGTGTAGTATCCGTGGAACCTGTTCTCGCCGTTGGCGGCAGTGACCAAGGGCCGGATACGACGACAGCGCACGCGGGTAGTACAATGCGCATGGGTCCTGCAGAACGCCGTTCGTCTATTTTGAAGCAGTCTCCAGGAGTTGCAGCTTCTTCAGTAATGGGAAGAAATAATGGCACGAACACACTTCATCAGCTTCCAATGCGAGTGGCGGATCAGCATCGTAGCCAGAGTTCAAATATTATACGACCACAATATGATCAATTTAATCCGATGCGTATGCAAGAACAGTCTCAATTCCCTCAAGCTTACCCACAGCATACACATCAGCAACAAGTGCATGCCTCCAATGATGATTGTAATACTTTCAAGTACTCTGCGTACATCAACGGTGGACACGTCCGCGGGGGTCCTCACCCAGGTGGCACAGGTATGATGCCACAACAGTCTTCAAATCAGCAATCACATCTGCTGCAACAACAGCAGCATTACCAAGGAGTTCAACAGCCACAGCAACCGCACCAAATGACTTCACAAGCGATAGGTGTATCGCACCATATGAGTAATAATAGTATCAATAACAGCATCGGACAGAGAGGCCCGTTCGGATCTTTCCTTCCGCCAAATACACACCAGAATAGCACGATATTGGGAACACAAAGCGACATGAAAGCCCTATGGCACGATCCGGTGTATGATCCCAAAGTTGAAGATTTGGGTGATGAATCTTCTGCTCGCTCCGCAATGAGCGGCTTTGAGGGTCAAGGACAGAACCTGCACGTTCACGGTCTCCAACAAGCCGTTCTGAGTCAACATGAGCAACAGATACAGCAATTGCAGCGACAAGAGCATCAATCACACAGCCACCAACATCAGTCTCAACAAATATCGGTTCAAAATCTTGCTCACGCTCGTGAACATCTTCCCGATTCACTGACACAAGGTTTCGAGAGTCTGAATTTGAATAGTAGCACTGGTAATATAACACGCAGTGGTCACGCTCCTTCGTCGTATGCTATGCAGCATCGGCAGCCACAAGTGATGAACAACTCTTCCGCGTTTAGTAATTTCGGAAGCAGTTGCGGAGGTAGCGGAGGCAATAGCGGATCCAGTATGGCGGTATATAATCAAGGGATCATCCACAACGATGGGCACATGGGTGTGGAGGGCAATAGGTATGGGAGCGTCGATGCGCGCGCCTTCGCAGAGTACTATCAAACACCAACCCAACAACCAGCAGCTGCGTCGGGGTTGGCCGCCAAATCCTTGTCATCGTTTGCACCACAAGGTACGAAGGCAGATTGGGGATATAGTATCTCCGGTGGTGTACTGCCTCAATTGCCCGCCACATCACGATTTGATGCTACTCCCGGCGCTATGAACGTTGATGGAAGTAGTAAGAGCAGTTTCAGCGGCACCTTGGCCGACATGAGCGGTCCCAACGCAGGGGCGATTGCTCAGCTGTTGATGTCTGATGATGGTATTATATCAAATGGGGTAGTGGCAAATACGGGCGGAGTGCGAGGTGAGGCTTATTATCTTAATGAAGGTACAGCCTTGTCTCCAACATCTTCTGAGCAGAGTAGAGTCTCGCCTATATCATTCGGAGTACATGACGCATATAAAGAAGAGGGGCTCGTCAATACTAACAATATTATCAATATAAGCAATAATGCCAGCAGCAACACAGACGCGGGAAATGAATCATCACGAACGATATTTGCGAGTTCTGGTTGCAGGTCAGAGAGCGTGGAGAAAGTCCCGGTAAGTAGATGGTCTAAATCAGAGGTCCGGGATTGGCTTGCCGGTCACGACCAAACCATACTCAGAGATCTGGCAGATATGTTGTACGAGAACGATATAGACGGGGACTTGCTGTTACAACTCAACGGAGAAAACATGAAGACGGATCTGAATATAACGAGTTTAGGCAAACGTAAAAAGCTGGAAGCTGCTATCCTGCAGATTCGAAAATGAGCGAAGCTTCGCTTATACAGAAAACCAGTATTTACATCATATTGGCGGGGGAAGAACATTTTACCTCAGCTATTAACTTTACAATTCAATAAAAGACATACAATATATATGCCGACACGAGCTGTGACAGAATGGGTCGTAGATAAAGGTAGTTCTACTAGGTGCATGCCATTTCACAATTCTTTAAATAACGCCTCCTGGTCACTAGACTTATATCAGAATAATTTTAAAACGAAACAAAACGAGTTTAGAACTAGCATGGGACTTGAATCATCAAAAACAGTCGCGATGTTTGTTTGACCAGTATACAAGTTCTCTCTGCGTTGGTGCGGACTCCAGCTCTTTATGTCGGTGCCTGTCGATAAATAATCATGTATTAAGCCGAGTGACTTTCTCATGTACTGACTATTTCAAATATTTGAAAGCAAAAATTGTTAGGAATTCCTGAATTCATAACCCTGAGCGCATGTCCTAAGTTGACAGCCACTAATTTGCAGAATGCTGAAAAAGCGTCCATCTCTTGTCAAAATTTGCAATACTGTGGGTAGAATGTTCGACATAGCTCGTTAATCATCGTTCTTTATTGAAAAGCTTAGTCACCCAAACTCTGACTAAGCTTGGCACAACCAATGGGACCTGCATGTCCCTCTCTTATATTACCTTCCAGTGGCCCCAGTCCGGTCAAATTACACGCCAGAATTGATTGTAAAATGGTCTATATCGAAGTATTGATACGATCCGTTCAGTGTTTGCATTGATTGCAGTGCCCCCTCTTGATCAAAGGACCCCCTGTGTGGTGTATGAGATATAATTTCAGAAAGCCGTGTACTGTCGAAGCTGAACGGAATTTTGAGTGAAAAAACAAAACAAAACAAAAGCACGAAAATAAGCCGAAAATCAAGCGCGAGTTTTATACCTTATAGCAATGATCTCTGATCCAGCGCTTACTGCAGTTGCGCCTGCGTTGGTGACATTCGGACTATCATACAGGATTGTATCTTCCTATTGGGGATAAAAAGGGACAGTCAAGAAACAGAACTATAAACATTTCTTGTGAGTAATATTGTTTGCCAGCAGCATTTCTTCTGTGAGGAGGTAAATTAAGAAGCGCGTTGTCGCCAACGTTAGGCCCACTTACATTAGCAACAAGAACGGTTCTGTTCATAGTTTCCGCATCACTATACTTTTCAGTTTGCTGGATCAATACTCGCAGGACATTCCAGACCTCCCAACCAGTTGGCACGATCTGAGTGGCTGTCGAATTGGATATTAAGACGCACGTTTGGTGTGAAAAAAAGTTAGTCAAGAACAGACTGAATTAAAGGACTAAAAGGATGTATATAGTCTGAATTGTGCAGCGTAAAAATAGGGACAAGGTCAAAAACGATACTCTGCCATTTAAGAACCATTAATGCGATATACACCTTGTGTGCGGAACATACGTTCAACTATGAAGCCATTGCCGTTGGCAGATGCATCATTCGGCGCCAGTTCTACTGTGAAAACCTGCGGGTAAAACAATATATAGTAAGTAGTGAATCCCGTCGACCCTGACGTGGTAATCGAGAAAACTATCATGTGAATACAGAGACTGAGAACTAAAGCGAAAAGTATGCCTCTCGAATGTACCAGGCCATGCTGATCGCCACTATCGCTGCTATTTGTGGGCACGCTGACGGTGGCTTTATCATACATCCAATCGTCCATCGCACCAGTTGCCGGATAGAAGTCAGTAGCAGTTGTTACAGAATATCGTCGTCTGTAGCGAATTTAAAGTTGGCGATAAAGTATAAGTTTCATCACAATGAGGGGGCAGGCGTACTGATGAAGCAGTTGGACATCAAGCCACTGTAAGTCAGCAATAGTACTCAACCTCGTTTCTTATATCTGTTGTACCCACATAGAGAAAAAAATGGGGAATCGATTACTACTTCAAACGCCGACCTCGACGTACATACCCGCTATGTGTCGCTAATATACGTCGCTGCATCTCGAGACCGGTTTCACGCAGTTCACCATCGTTTGGAGATAACGGAGAACTGAATGCGTACCCAGGAGGGTACATTATCCACTGTGCGTAAGCGTGTAAATCAATAGCACCTCCAAGCTGAAATAGTCGGATAATAAAACAGCCGAGACTTTAGATACAGATACACAGTGATGAATATAATATCTCCGTGCAAAACTATTCATAACTCCTTCTTGGATGTACTAATTCAAACCATACCACGTGGCGGGTCTTAATGTTCTCAATATGCGCCCTCAAAGCTTGAGTCTCCGGCTCTGAGAATGCTTCAGTCCCTGCGTATGTGTCGCCGCATGATGACTCTACATAAAATAGTATGTGAATTCTAGGGTTGTGAATGATTGAATTGATCACTAACACCGCAACAGACGGACATACTCATACGGACATAGCTTGTGACAAAATAGTAACTGGAATACGTCTGTGAACTGAACATACCATGTTTCCAGCTGTCGTATCCGTTGAAATTGCGATTGAGATCTACTCCCTGGCAACGGTAAACGGAATCTGGTATAACACCTGGAAAGTGGATAAAGTTAAGTGGGATCCTGTCTAAAATAATGTTCGCTATACTACCCTGATAACTCCAACACTATTGCTGTTGGCTCTATAAAAACCAATGTACAGACAAAACTATACATTGCATTCATACTTTAAACCAAGCTTATC